CCGGTCTTTTTTTAAAAAAAAAAAAAAAAAAACACTTTTTGTAAATGATAACAGCCATTAAGACCATCCCTAAAGCAACTGAGGGTCCTGGGAATTTAATCGTGCCAATACAGTCTTTTTAACATTATTAATTGTAGAAAAATGGGTGCTCTTTAAAGACTTCGTAAGGTTAGGAAATAAAAAGAAGTCAGAGGAGCCAAATCAGGACGCCTAATGATTTCTCATTGAAACTCTCACAAAATCGCCCTTGTTTGATGAGGGGAATGAACAGGAGCATTGTGGTGGTGGAGAAGGAGTCTGGTGAAGCTTTCCCAGGCTTTTTTGTTCTAGAATTTTTGCTAACTTTCTCCAGACATTTCATAATAAACAATTGTTATCATCCTTGGCCCTCCAGAAAGTCAACAAGTAAAATGCCCTGAGCATTCCAAAAAACTGTTGCCTTGACCTTTGCTCTTGACTGGTGTGCTTTTGCTTTACTGGACCACTTTGACCTCTTGGTAGCCATTTTGATCCTGCTTTGTCTTCAGGATTGTATTGGGAAAGCCATGTTTAAGCCCCTGCAAGCTTCATCTTCAACATCGTTTTGCCTTAAAACGAATTATTCATTTGTAAACTGCTAATTTGTTTGGAGCATTGACCCCATAAATTTGGTGTTCTTGCTTCAGTTTTAGAAGTCATGATGCTCTGATAGGGGCTCTTTTCAGACTGATGTCTTATCTTTCTTAGTGCCTCAAACTACACCCTGTTCAGACATGTTTTAACACATTAGTAGTGAGAGTTTATTTTGGTGCCAAAAAATTTTGCTATTCGGTTTTTTCATAATACAAATTTCCATAGTAGAATTTTGCTATCCATGCAGTTTTTCCATAATGTGAGTTTCCATGAACTTTTTTCCTTATAAATTTTAAAGCAATTTTTTCCAAAAGTACAAAGTGTAGAGAATATTTTCCTAATACAGTGCAGTAAAACTAAAAATTAATAACAAGATGAGCAAATAAAATACCCTTTCCTCTCAGAAATTCACAGCCTGTTAAACAGTTCTTAGATCAAAAAAGAAATACTTTTTTTTAATTAAAACAAATGAGTGAAAGTAGATGAATTTAGAATCTAATTCAAGCTGGTAGAAAAATAGCAAACCTTAGGAAAATAGAAAGGAAGAATTCATTCAACAAATATTTGAGAGACTTTGTGCCAGAGACTGGATACTCCCTCATGGAGCTCATGCTCAGTTAAGTACCGTATTACAAGAATAGGATGTACATACCTAGATAGGAGAGTTAACATCAGCTTGGTTATTGTTTTAGTTCAGTGAGAAAAACAATTAGGTAAACCATCAGGAGGGCCTCTGTAAGTATGACACAAAAGTTAGAAGCTATAAAGAAAAGAATGGCCATTTCATTTACATAAAAGTGAAAAGTTATGCCTGGCAAACATTAGCTAGCATAAACAAAATCAAACTGTACAAATGTAGGTATTATACAGTTCATATCACTCACTAAGAGCTAATTTCCCTAATTTTGAAGACATTTTACACACCGATGAGAAAAAGATGAAGGGCCCAACTGAAAATGGGCATAAGGATATTGCGAGCTCACAGAGAAAGAATAACAAATCACTTTTTAAACATGAAAAAAATGCCCAACCTTGCTTATAATAAGAGAATGCAAGTGAAGCTACACTGAGATGCCTTTTGTGTTCTGGTTAGTATCGGCAGATACCAGTGTCTGTTGTAGTCGTGACAAGTTGAGACAAGTGCACTCATACATTGCTGCAAGGAGTGATAATTGTTATACCCTCTATGGAAGACAATTCAGCAAATATCTTAAAATTTCAGGGCCGGCCCGGTGGCGCACTGCTACAGTGCGCCGCTTGGGAGCGCGGTGGCACTCCCGCCGAGGGTTCAGATCCCACATACAGACCGGTTCCGCTCACTGGCTGAGTGAGGTGTGGGAGCAACACCGAGGGTTGTGATCCCATTGCTGGTCCCGGTCCGGTACGGGCGCGACACTGAGGGTTGCGATCCGTTGCCGGACACGAAAGAAAAAGACAAAAAAAAAAATTTCAGATACACATAACTAAATGTCAGTGGACAAATGTGTAAACAAATTATGGTTACAGCCATATGGTGAAATAGTCCAAAGCATAGCTGATATGTACTGGTCTCCAGATTCTGTTGTTAAATTTCCAAAGTGAAGAGCTGTATCATGTACCCACTGAATAGTATGCTGCTGTTTGCATAATAAAGGATATTAAATATGTGTAGAAGTGCTTATATAAATATAGACTGTTTATGAAAGGAAACACAAGAAAACTAGTAACACCAGTGGCTAGGGAGGGAGTTTTTACTGCATACTTTTTGATACCTGTTTAATATTTGTTCTTTATGAATGTATTACTTTAAAAATACGAAAATTAAGAGCTGTTATACAGAAGAAAATCTGTAAGGAGGTTTTGATAACTTTGGCTAACTCACTCTGCCTTTAGGGTTTTAACCAAGAGGATTTGGAAGAAGAAAAAGTTGAAACACAGGTAAAAGAAGCAGAAGATTCAGATTCTGATGATAACATAAAGAGAGGAAAACAGTAAGTTTTTTTTTTTTTTTTATTTTAATTTTAATTTTTATTTATTTATTTATTTATTTATTTTAAAGATGACCGGTAAGGGGATCTTAACCCTTGACTTGGTGTTGTCAGCACCAAGCTCACCCAGTGAGCCAACCGGCCATCCCTATATGGGATCCGAACCCGTGGCCCTGGCGCTATCAGCACCACACTCTTCCGAGTGAGCCACAGGCCAGCCCCAAGTTGTTTTCTTTTAAAAGGGACTTGTTAAAGAGAACTTAAAAAATGAAGGTAGAGGAGACTATTAAACTTCCTTTTGTTTTGCATTTTTGATTCCTGATTAAGTTTAGGAGAGAGTCTGTTCCCACTTTTCTTTCTTCTTTTTCTCTATAGACAGTGTTGTCAGTGAATTACTTGCTATGGTTATTTTTCTTTCATTTGCCCCATGCTTGGATATCTTAATATTTGGAGTCATATGACACCAGACTCTTAAGTTATGGCTCACCAAGTAAACTCTTCTGAAAAATACCTAATTTAAAAAAAAAAAATCTCTCTCTCTCTCTCTCTCTCTCTCTCTCTCTCTCTCTATCTATCTATATATATATATATATTTTTTTTTTTTTGAGAGAGAGAAAAGCTGACTTAAGGGGCTGGGAGAATAAGTCTAAAGTCTTAATTACAAAATATTACTTGATTGCATTTATACTTACTTTTGTAGTTGGAATCTGTGCTCAGAAATATCTAATATCTTCAAAGGTGCCATACAACCATAGAATGATTAGTTAGTTACTATTTACAGTGGTAAATATAATGCTTTAAAAAAATAGTTTTTAATTCCTAGTGGCATGCAAGGATTAGGTTGAATCAGTTTGGCAGTACCATTAGAAACTGAATGTATATGATGGTGGTAGAGAGTGAGTTAACTCCCTCTTTTAAGTGTAATGATTTAGATAAAAGCTATAAACAGTTGAGGCTCTTAGCAAGCACATGCATTTCCATCTTTATTTCAATCACATTATGTTTTGAGAGTTGTGCTCCTTAGCACTGAAAAGCAGCAGTTTATTTTTTATTTTTCTACTCATGCAATATAAGACAAAACATTCAAATAATTGAACACTATCCTGTTCCATACAAAAGGGAGTACAGCTAAAGCTGAACAAGTTCGCTGAATGAGAGCTTGAAATGTTCCTTCTCAAGCTGATAGGTGCAATGTGTAAAAAGTTAAAGGCTATTAGTGATTTATGTATAACAATTGAGGTAGTACAGGAGTTGAACATAAAGTCTAGGATCAGCTGTTCTTTTAATAACAAGTTGTAAGTACTTGCACTTTTCAAAGAAGGTAGCACTTCTTTGAGAAATTTGATGTTCTCAATTGTGATAAAAGTAAATGTGTATTTAAAAGATAACTTGTATTTCACTTGATTTTGTGTTACTGCTAAGTATGGACTTTCTGTCGGATTTTGAGATGATGTTGCAGCGGAAAAAAAGCATGAGCGGCAAGCGCAGACGTAATCGTGATGGTGGCACCTTTATCAGTGATGCGGACGACGTTGTGAGTGCCATGATCGTCAAGATGAACGAAGCTGCCGAGGTGAAGGGGTCGCTTCTGGTTTCACCTTTTCTTTCCATGGTTTGGTGCCCTTTTTAAAAAGCGCTTGACCCTTAGCTTAAACTACATTTAAGATGCTTTTGTGATAAAAAGCATTTACTGTTCTAAATTTTAAGCATGGAAATAATTTTAACTTTTTAGTCACATGAAAAAAGTGAAAAGACTAAGTATTAAGTAAAATGAACCTTTCTAGATGAATGGCTTTGCTAGTTTTATGGGGGAGTGATTTTGTTCTTACATTTGGCTAGTTCACCACAAGTTTGATCTTTCTTTATATATAAAGAATGTGTTATAGCCTCATGTGTCATTCTCTTGTCCCTGACCAAGAGACTGCATCTGAGTCATTCCATTTTTTAAATCTGCCGAAATTATAAAAATTGGCCGTATTTTGTTTAAAAGCAAGTTCTGACTTTAGAGACATTACCTGAAGTATTAATGGATTCAATGATCTGTGTCTAGGATTTGTTTCAAAACAATTTGAAGGTGAAGGGAAAAGTAGCTAGAGATCTAGCTAAAATAAGACTGGCCATGTGTGTTTAATTGTTGAAATGTACATGACATGTGTATTATACTATCTATATATTTGTAGAATTTGAAATTTTTTATAATTAAAAAGTAGAAAAAAATACCCAAGTAAGTACAGAATCTCTTCTTTGATAATGTATTTCATTGTCATACAAGCCTTATATCTGGTAAGTTATTCCTGGTAATACACCAAAATTTCACGAATAGAATTTGTATCTTGAGAACTTGACGGTTGTGCCAGTATTTTAAAATAAAATTGTTTCTCTCAATTTGTAATTGTTAAAGGTAATTATTCTAATAGTTTTGTGGGTTTGGCTGACACTGACAGGTACAGAATTCGGTGCTCTGCAAAAAATCTATTCTTTATGGGCTGAGCCCGTGGCGCACTCGGGAGAGTGCGGCGCTGGGAGCACAGCAGCCCTCCCGCCGCAGGTTCGGATCCTATATAGGGATGGCCAGTGCCCTCACTGGCTGAGTGCGGTGCGGCCGATCTCACAAAAAGACAAAAAAAAAAAAAATCTATTCTTTATTTAGTTTTCCTTCCTTGTAGGAAAAATTGTAGTTTCTTTGAGAGACTACTGCTTTATTTTATTTTAAGTTTCAGAATTACAGGACTTATAATTCACTATTAACAATTAGTACTGCTTTTTATTTGTTTTTTATTTTTTAATCTTTTTTAAAATCTTTTTTCTGGATAGGAAGACAGACAGTTGAACAATCAAAAAAAGCCAGCACTGAAAAAATTAACTTTATTACCTACTGTGGTTATGCACCTTAAGAAGTAAGTATTTGTTTTCTCGAAAAAGTTTTTTCCTTTTAACGGACTGATGTTCAAATGGATGTCCAAATGATGTTCACTGGAATGATGTACTGGTATTCTAGGGATATTAAATAATGATAGCATTCTATCAGTTCATACAAACATAATAATGATTTAAATTTCCTAAATTCTATTTCTTCATAAATTTTTCTTAAACCTTGATGCCTGATGCAAAAAGAACAAATAGAAATCTGATATTAATGCTGGTGTGTTGATAGTATAGTGGTTAGCATAGCTGCCTTCCAGAAAACTGATATTAATGAAAGAAAAATTTGGAAAACTATTAATTTTGTTCCTTTAGACAGTTTTGGATCTGGTAAAATTAGATCTTTTCCCAGTGTGGTTGAAAACAGCAAATCTTGGGAGACTCTACTTGAAGCATGTAGTGTACAAGCTTTATATGGCCCTGTTACATCATGATCATTGATCCTTCTGAGATAAGGATGCCCTTTCTTAATAGACCTTTGATACCAAATTTTTTCGTTGGTTTGCTCATATTCCTGAGCAACTTTGCTCTCTGTTTGATCCAAGCCATAGCTTACTTCTGCTGGTTGAAGAAATGCATTAGTGAGCCACCAGCATGGTTCAGGAAATCTGTAACTGAAAGTTAATTGGTTTGCTCATATTCCTGAGCAACTTTGCTCTCTGTTTGATCCAAGCCATAGCTTACTTCTGTTGGTTGAAGAAATGCATTAGTGAGCCACCAGCATGGTTCAGGAAATCTGTAACTGAAAGTTACTGCCTCTATCCTAGGAGGCAATATTATCTATGGCAGGTTTCATATATATCATAGTGTCATGTTTTCTATTAACATAACTAATTCCAGTGCATAAAATAGAATTAAAATGTGTTTCATTAAGATTTTTTTCTGCCAGGAAAATAATATTCTCTTTGGTGTCCTGCAAAGAGTAGCACAATTCCGGGCTTTTCACCACCTGAAACTGTTGGAGTGTGACTATTCTGATAGATTGAACTTTTTTTTTAGTTGGAATAACTGGAGTTCATTGTTCTTACTGTCTGTACCATTCATATAGGCTTTAATCTATCTTATTTGAGTTTTCTTATTTTGTATTTAGCAAATCATCTTTGCCTGTCAAGTATGTATGCTTCTAGAAAACAGTAACTAAATTTCATACTGCTTTTGAAACAGAATAGGTGCTCAGTAAATATTGAATGGTTATAAGTAACTTTTAAAACAATTTTGGGAAATATTACTAAATATGTAAGAAAAGTCAAGAAGAAGATATAGTAGAACCAAGGTTCACAGACTTGACTTTTTTTTTTTCTTTCTCAATTATTATTATTGCAGGCAGGACCTAAAAGAAACATTTATTGACAGTGGTGTGATGTCTGCCATCAAAGAATGGCTCTCACCTCTACCAGATAGGAGTTTGCCAGCACTAAAAATTCGGGAGGAGCTGTTGAAGATTTTGCAAGAGGTTAGAGGCAGATAATCTGACTGCTCTTCATTAATTATCTAATGTGGTTTGTATTGTCATAACCTCTATATTTTACCATATATTTATATATATTCTGCTATATCACCTGCCAGAAGAGGGACTGGAAAACAGGAACATACCTAGTAAAATGAACATAAAAGGAAAGACCTTATAAAACTTCATGTAACTATATTATTAAAGGAAAAAGATCTTGGAGTAGCTATGGTGTATTTGAGAAGAGTAATATAGTAGTGGACGTGTTCTGGGGAGACACTTGAACTAGACAGCACCAAATTCAGGGTCATATGAACTTTCATGGGAATCTTGAGCTGGACCACCTTTATGTGGCTGTGACACCTTGGACAAGCTACTTAACTTCTGAAGGAATTCCCGAGGAGCCTCCTGTGTGTCAAGCACTGTGCTAGGTGCTTTATGTATGTATTGGTTCATCTGTTCCTCCCAATAAACGTGCAAGGTAGGTGTATTGTCTCCATTTTACAGATGAGCGAATTAAGACTCAGAGAAGTTAAATGACTTGTCCAGTGTCATATTGCTAGCAAGTGGCTGTGCTTGGGTTCATTCTTAGGTTCGTTGGATTCTGAAGCCTGTGTCAACTCCTGTATTAAATTGCTAACTTCTGAGTATGCTTATTTCACACTTTCTCACATTATTAGGTTTTACTTCAACTTAGTGGTAATACTGAACTCTCAACTTTTGATGCGAACACTAAGTATCTTTGTGTTCAATGTCTGTAGATCCCAAAAATGGAATTTTTTTTTTTAAAGAATATGTTATTTTATTGATATTATTTTTTACATTCTGGGATGTTGTTGCAGAGCAGTTGGGAGGGAGTAGTGAGGGGAAAGGGGAAGGAAATGAGATGGAAGAAGGAGGAAGGAGGAGGAGTGGGATTGAAGCCTTTGACGCCCCCCTCATTCCCACAGGGGAGACCGGGAGGCTTCCAGTGGTGGCTTGGTTATTGCCGGTCTGGGCGCAGATGTCAGTGTGGCTAAAGCCCTTGCCCCCCACTGTCCCAGCTCAGGAACCCAGGACACTTCTTGCTGCAGCTTGGTGGTCATTACTGGGCTGGTTGCAAGTGTCAGGGGGGCATGGCCGAGGCCCCCCTCCACCCTGGCTCAGGAGAGCCCCGGGTGCTTTCTGTGGCGGCTCTGTGGTCGCTGCTGGGTGTTGGGGGGCGTGGCTGAGGCCCTTGTCCCCCACCCTTGGGATAGGTTGCAGGTGGTGGGGGGCATTGCTGAGGCCCCCAGCCCTCCCCACTTTCTGGCTTGGTAGCCCAGGGGACTTCTGGTCCTTCTAGTTGTTATAGGTATTCTTTGGTGAAATGAGACCTTTACTAGTTAATATCAAATTTTGTCTCTGGTTGTGGGTACTTTGTTTTTTCTTTCATTTCTGTGTTGGATTACTTGCTGTTCCCACCATTTAAACTCTGCACCAGAAGTAATTTTTGTCCTTTGCTTACCTCTAAAATGGGGGAATTTCTTGTGGCGACCAGTACTTGAGCTCTGTGGTTGAGCTAAATTGCTGCTTTGCTGCTGGTTCCCTAGGGAAGGCTTTTTGTGTAGCTCAGGTTTTAATGGTTGACTTTATAGTTCCTTCCAGCTCTCAAGAGATCTGGTGCACCTGGGTTGTGTAGAAACTCTGGTTTGGGCCTGAGTCTTTTCATCAAACTGCACCCCATGCAATTCTATATTTCTGACCAGTCTTCTTTGAGTGGTCCTGTGCTGATTGCAGGGCAGATCAACTGTCCTTGCTGTGCCCCAGTGTTACCCTGGTGGGCCCGTCTCCCCCACTGCCCATGCTCCAAACACTTTCCATGGGATGGGCAGTGCTCCAGTCCCTTGCAATGACTCACCAGCCTCTGAGTGGCTCCTTTTTTTTCAGTTGTTGTGGCTTCTCACTCCTGTGTGGGTCCACAGGAACTGTATTAATGGTCTTGCCGGCCTGGGGGCCACCATGGCCCTCTTCTCTCCTGCCGCCTCCAAGCAACTTCATCCAAAGGGCACGGCTGCAGCTTCTGCTGGCTCCTGCTCCGCATGCTCAGCAGCTCCAGCCTGGACGTAGCTGGGGCTCGAAACGGTTGGAGGGGTTTTTTCTTTCTCTCATCATGGCTTCTCCTGCCTTCATATACTCCATAGGTCTCTCCTCCTCTTCCCCTGAGCTCTAGCGGCCCCAGATTGGCTGTCGTTGCTTTTTTATAGTTGTAAATTGGTTGATTTGTGGGAGAGAGTGATGCTGGGGACCGTCTATTCTGCCATCTTGACCAGAACTCAATGTAATTTTTTATTTGTTCTGTTGTGAACCAGGTCTTGAAGGTCTTCTAGAATAGATTAGCAAGACTCCCTCCCAGCTTCTGAGTGATTAATATGTGTGTATGTGTTTATGTTCCCCAGCTACCTAGTGTGAGCCAGGAGACCCTGAAGCATAGTGGGATTGGACGAGCAGTGATGTATCTCTATAAACACCCCAAGGAATCAAGGTCCAACAAGGATATGGCAGGGAAATTAATCAGTATGTAAATTTTGCTTTTTGCTTGTTGTGTTTATGTCTGTATTTAGAGGGACATGTATGTATAAGAGCTAAACTATATTTTTACCAATATTCATTTAAAATGAGTCAGTAAATTGAAACAAAAAAATTTAATAACTTCTTTTAGGTGTCACCTTTTTTCTATTAGACTTAAAATGCTTCTCAGCATATTTAAGTATGCTATCCAATATTAAATATAGCAAATAAAAACCTGCATATTCTAGTCGTGGATCAAAAGCCTGGAGACAGCAGGGTTTGAATTCAAGCTCTAGAGTTAGTCATACCTGGGTTGAAGTCATGAACCCACCACCTGCCGTACTGCATATCCTTAGATAGTGATGTAATCTCTAAACCTTGGTCTCCTCCTCTGTAAAACTGAGATATTACGTGTTTCCTTTGGCTATTACAAAGATTAAATGAGAAGATGTGTGTAAATCACAGTGCCTAGCACATATAGCCACTGCCACTATTGTTACTTGCACAGTGGTCTCCAAAACCTTTCGCATGTTCTTATTTAATGATGTCAGAGAAATCCAGAGGAGTGTAATTGAGATTCATCAAGTCAGGTACCATATTGTTTATGAAATGCTTCAGTTTTTGGAATGAAATCCATGTTCGTTTTTGTTATCCTCCTTAACTCTTCCAGTGCTCTGTGTTGGAAAGGAATTTTTAAAACTTCAAGGCTAGGTTGAAAAAGTAACTGCTTCTACATTTGAATGCAGTGATTACATTTTTCTGTTGAATTTTTAAGATTATCAAAAGCTTTTAGAGAAATGTACATTTTTTTTTTTATAAACCAGAGACATTATCACCTTTGATCATGTTCGTAATCTGCAATTTACTGCCTATTAAATGATAAACTTTTGATATGATTTGAAAGAATGGTAGAAGAAATGCTATTTTGTGGACTAAATATTCGATATTTTTCATGTTACAGATGAGTGGTCTCGCCCTATATTTGGTCTTACCTCAAACTACAAAGGAATGACAAGAGAAGAAAGGGAGCAAAGAGATCTAGAACAAATGCCTCAACGACGAAGAATGAACAGGTATGAGGGAACAGGTATGAGTAAGTGGAATAAATGTTGTTTGAGTAATTCATTTTTTTTTTTTTTTTTTTTGGTT